GAAAAAAAAAAAAAAAAAAAAAAAAAGATCGAGTGGTGGAAATCGAGGGACCTGGAATCGATCCGGGTCATCGATAGACCTAAAAGGGGCATGGATAAACCAATTTGGACAATCGATCGACCAATCTGGACAATTGATTTGACCAGTGTGGACAATTGATCGACCAATCTGGACCAATCTGTTGGGCCAATCTGGGCCAATCTGAATCAATCTGGACCTCTCTGGACTGGACTAATCTGGACCAATCTGGGCCAATCTGGACCAGTCTGGACCAGTCTGGACACAACAGATCAAACAGTATGGACAATTGATCGACCAATCAGGACCATTGATCAACAAGGTCCAGTCGGGACCAGTCTGGACAATCAATCGATAAATCTCGACCAATCTGGACCAGTCTGGACAATCGATCGACCATCTCGACAATCGGTACACCAATCTGGACCAGTCGGGACCAGTCTGGTGGACCAGTCGGGACCAGTCTGGTGGACCAGTCGGGACCAGTCTGGTGGACCAGTCGGGACCAGTCTGGACAATCAATCGATCAATCTTGGACCACTCACCGACAAATTGAAGCAATGTGGACCAATCTCGACAATCGGTAAACCAATCTGGACAATCAATAGACCAATCTAGACCATTCGATCGCCCAATCTGGAACATCGATCTTCCAATCTGTCAGACCAATCGGTATAGACCAATCTGGACAATCAACAGACCAATCTGGACCATTCGATCGGCCAATCTGGAAAATCGATCTCCCAATCTTGACCACCCTGGACAATGAATCACCCCATCTGGACCAATTTGTAATGATCTGGATCAATCCGGGCCGTTGATCGACCCCGATTGCGATCAACGAGGATCATCTGGACCAATTAATCAACAGATATAGACAATAGATCGATAGATCGACCAAGCCCTGGAAACAATCTGGACAATCAATCGACATAACTGGACCAATCTGGATCAATCGATTGCCCATCGATCGACCAATCCGGAAAGTCGATCGACCAATCTGGACAATTGATTGCTCAATCTGACCAATCTGGACAGATCTGGACCAATCTGGATCAATCGATTGCCCATCGATCGACCAATCCGGAAAATCGATCGACCAATCTGGACAATTGATTGCTCAATCTGGACCAATCTGGACAGATCTGGACCAATCAGGACAGATCTGGACCAATCAGGGCAGTTGATCGATCAATTCAAACCCCTTTGATCAAACAGGACCGACCAATCCCGACAGATCTGGGGGGAACCGACCGACACCAGTCTGGACCAATCGGGACAATCATCGGACACACGTGGAGGCAATCGACAGACCTCAATCTCGATCAATCTCGAAAATCGGTCGACCAATCTGGAGCAATCGATCGACCAATCTGGACAATTTTGTGATCGCTCAATCTGGATCAATCTGGACCGATCTGTACCCATCAGAGCCGTTGATCGACCAATCAGAGCCATTGATCAACAAGGACCTTCTGGACCAATCTCGACAGTCAGATTTGGAGATTAGATCGACCAATCTGGACGTATCGGACAATCAATCAATCAAGACACCTGGACCAATCTGGACCACCATGGATAGACCAATCTGGACCATTGATTAACCATTGATTTACCATTGCTTAACCATTGATTAACCACTGATTAACCAAATTGATCTGGACCAATCTGGACCATTAATGCATTAATCTGGACCAACCTGGACAATCAATCGACATATCTCAACTAATCTGGACCAATCCGGTAGATCGATCGACCAATCTGCACCAATGTGGACAATCGATCGCCGAATCTGGACCAATGTCCACCGTTTGATCTGGAACAATCTGGGACGATCATCCAGTCTCGACCGCTGATCGACCAATTAGGGCAATTGATCGACCAATCAGAACCTTTGATCGGACAGGATCACGTGGACGAGTCTGGACCCAATTCGGACCCAATCTGGACCAGTGTGGACGAACCTGGATCAATCTGGACCAGTGTGGACGAACCTGGACCCAATCTGGACCAGTGTGGACNAATCTGGACCAGTGTGGACGAACCTGGATCAATCTGGACCAGTGTGGACGAACCTGGACCCAATCTGGACCAGTGTGGACGAACCTGGACCGAATCTGGACCAGTGTGGACGAACCTGGATCAATCTGGATCAATCTGGACCAGTCAATCCACAAGCCTGGACCATTGATCGACCAATCAAAGTCATTCATGAACTAATTAGGACCATCTGATAAACCAATCAATCGATCAATTAATAAGCAGGTCTGGGATTAAAGTGTATAAGCGGAAGTAGAATCTACTCAGAAGTCTGAAAAGCAGATGAGGAGGAGGAGGAGGGAGGAGGAGGAGAGAGGAGGAGGAGGAGGAGGAGGCGGACACGGGCAAGAATCACAAGGGGGGGGAGGAGGAGGACGTCAATGAAAAAAGAAACAAAAAAAGAAAAGGAGGAGCGGGAGAGGACCAGCGCAGGTCTGGATCCCGATCCAGCGGGTGGACGTGGTTAGCTCCAAAGGCGTATCTGGATGGCGACTGTATCTGGACGCTTCTCTCGAGGTGAGGCGACTGTATCTGGACGCTTCTCTCAAATTATTTCGTCTTTCACGACCTACCTGCCCACTACTCCTAAGGCTATACAGCGGAGCCCTGCAAGCATAGCTATACATAGCTCTCTTGGTGAAGGGAGGTTACCTCTCTCCCTCCTGGGTGAAGGGAGGCAATTGCATGTGTGCTCCTTGCCCTACTGGTTTAAGGTGCAGCGTTGGGGCCGCCCTGTGGGGGGGCTGGGCTAACACAAGGACCAAGCATTTGCCAGTAGCTGCACCTCCCTTTTCATCTTCCCCCACCCCCATCCAGCAACAGCAGTGTCTAATAAGGCCAACACTCTCCCACACACCACACGCAACCCACTAACACGCGCACTCACACCCGTGTTGGGTGAAGACCCACCCTACTCATACCGACTGCTTCAGCGT